TCACTAATCCTCTATATATTAATTGAATAGATATTTGGTGTAAAAATATATATGTCATTCAATGGAGATTTTAAGAAACATGTCATTTAAATTAATCAATGAAAACATTTCAATTCAAATCATATGCTATGGTGGAAATCTCTACATTTTTATTAATTTTATAATATAAATCGAGTAATAAATATTTTGCAGATTTAAGTTTTACTAAATGTAATATTTAGACTTACTATATGATCTATTTTTTTTTAAATTGATATATTAAGTAGCTTTTATTATTATATCTATTTTTTTTTAAATTGATATATTAAGTAGACTTACAAATAACAATATTATTTATTTGTAAACAACAACTACATTTAAAAATATTGTTATTTTTTATTATTGAAAAATTATATTTTTCGTTTGTTATATCCGACAAATTTATATAAATCTAAAATTTATTTGATTTACCGTATCGTATAATTTACACAAATAATAAAAATTAATTTTACACTTCAAATAAATTGAAATAAATAACTTTTGCATTAGTTTTAATACTTTTTGTAAAATTGATCAAACATATAACATCAAAGTATGTTAGATCAAAATTTAATTTTATGTACAATACATATATTTTTTGTCCGTTTATAAATATTGGAATATCCATCTAAATATTAAAATTGATTAAAAAATATATTTAATCTCATATTTGGCGTGGATCAAAAATCTAGTTGTTATTATTGTGGAAGAATGGAAACACATTTTTAGTTTTTAATCGGTTCATTCTCACGAACGAAAACATGTTTCATATGCTCTCTAACAAAACAAAAAAAAGAGACTTTATAAGAAACAACTAACAAAAATAGAGGAATTGGATTGGACCAATGAAGTTTATACAATAAATAAATGGAGAGTGGATTTGAACCTAATATCATTCCAATTCCACAAATAGGCACACTCCTAATTCGTCCAAATTAACAGATGCCATTTAACCAATTAATTAGGCGATTAGCGTATCCCATATTGGCAATAGTAAGAAAATTTACTAGTCTTCGCCTACCAAATTTACTAATCTACAACCATCTCCGACAAATGCAAATTCTTTGGGAAATTTGCTAAATTGACTCAATTTGAATTAGTGTTTTGTAAATTAACTTTCGACCTATGATTTCTTGTCCTAATAACCTTTGCTATTTTTATATCCCAATTTTAACCTTCAAATTGAATAAAATATTTTTTTTACAATATTTTTGGAATATATATTTATTCTTACAAAATTGAAAGAAAAAGAGAATATTCATTTTTGGAAATTTTCTTTTTTTTAACATACAT